AGGTGAAAATCGGCCAGTATACCTAGTTTCAATGCTCTTTGGCAAGTCCTAATGGTACTGGTATAATTAGAAGATATATAGGCTTGTGAAAAATTACCATCCACTACATCTGCTACACGGATTGTTTCCATGTTTTGTTAACATATGAATAGGCACAATGTTGATGTGCTGCTTTTGAGAAATCATGAGTAATTGGGTATAAGCTTTTCAAGGGCCACTAGGGATAGACAATAAATACCAACTTTATCTGTGATACCTTATTCAAAGAATGAATTATTTTAAAACAAGCTTTAACACTAGTGTTCACTTAGATGTGTCCAGGAAGAAAGGTGCTAACAAATTAGCTCCCAACATTTAACTTATTAAGTGTAATTTATTTTATAACAAAACTATACATTCATGAAAACAATAGTGGGAGGTGCTGAGACATCACTGTCAGAGTTATCAGTCTTCTGGAATCTGAATGAAACATGGGTCAGTGTAAAAGTGGCTACAAAACTATGAGTGTACTGTGAATAAGAAACAACATTATAGTCCATGCTGGATGTGAATATTATGATCATGTTTGGACTTGATTTTTGCTGCTGGGACAGGATGTTTTGTGACTCACTGGTAAAACGTATGCCAAACGTTGCAATTTTCACTCCGGCAGGGGTATGGGTATGGGGGGCTGCTGGTACGGTTGGGCCTGCCAATGCTGGAAGCAGAGTTTAAGTGGCTACAATGGTGGGCAACTGCTGAACTGGGCTGGTTAGAAGACCTCAGTTCTCTGGGAGTTCACCACTGTTGTTTCAGAATTTGTTACTACCGCTAACTCTCACCCCTCACATATCCTCACTCTCCCTCCCACCCACACCCAGGGATCCTCATACCCGTCACACAAAAGTCATGCACTCCAATGCTAACTGTGTTACCACTTACCCAGTCTTTGCCATGGGTAGACCTCAAGACTTATGTGGAGGTGAGAGATATAAACTTCTAATAATCTAATGCAGCTCTCCCTTGTACACACTTGATAGTGTAAACACTGATTCAAACAACCTATTCAAAGCTTTTAAATGTCCTCAGTGGTTAATCTCTCCTGAAAAACAATTTCCACCCAGATTTCACCAAGACAGCTAATCCTTTAACAGTCTCTTTAAATTGTCAAATTGTTCATGTAGAACCTCTGCCAAGATCATTGTAGGTTTTGAAACTCAGATAAGCATTCATAACAAAATAGAACCCCCTGGAGAGATTTGAGCAAAATGACTTTACTGAAACAGTACAAACATGCCACTGCTTTTTTTCTAACCCACAGCAGGGGACCTGTCAATCAGAGCAGTCCAGCAGACGGATTTCATTCACTCTGAGTGACAACTACAGCCTTTGTAAGTTTAAAAATGAGGGGATTTAAAAATAGCACATCATGGCAGCTAAACAGACCTCACCAGCCACTCAAGTATATTTAAATCTACTTTATCAATTTGTGACTCCTACACTGTGGGTTTAAGTCCTTGCAACAGCCAAATTGATGTCTGCTTGAACTGAGCACTGAACGTGGATTGATGGTTAAATTTAATGCAGACCGGATAGGGATGACAGACTCTCTCCTCTGATGGATATTACTGAATCAAATAGGTCTACATGACACCTGACAACTTGTTCTCCTCTGACTTCACTCTCCAATTATGCTGAAGTACCTCCGCTGTCAGTCTGTCTGCTTCTGGGACCTCTCCATTCTACTGCCTCTATTAACTGTCCAGCCACCATTTCCAGGTCTAACACAGGTCTGCGACCAGTCGGCCGCTGCCACTCCAGAGTTCCATCCAGATCTGGTGCTAATCTGTGTGCTCACCTTCCCGCTCCTCTCAGTGACGCTGACTGCCTGTCACAGGGTCCTCACCTTCTCCTCTCGGTGACGCTGACTGCCTGTCACAGGGTCCTCACCTTCCCGCTCCTCTCCTCTCCTGTCAGTGAAGCTGAATGCCTTTCTCTGGATCCTCACCTCACCCAGTCCTCACTTATTTACCTCAGTTTTCTTCTGATGTCAGAATGTAAATTGCAAATATATTGTGGATTGTATTACAGTACAAATTTTGAACAGTAAAGTTTATTATTGCTTATTTGACTCCATGGAACCTTGTGGCTTTCAAAGGGTACCTAGATCTCACACTTTGTGTATATTTAAAAAGAACCTCCTGAACCGTAGCAAGATTGTAACTTAAAATTGCTTCTGGGATCAGAACAGATTATAAATCTGGGTTAGTAGTCCAATAACATCTGTGACATTACTACCCTTGTGGACTGAAACATAAATTTACTCATTTATGTTTGAGCAGTAACTCTGTTTCTTGTCAGTGAAATGGTCCTCTCTTAATAAGTGGTGATTTCATCAAAGGGAAGGAGGAAGGTATCAACAGTGTTGAAGAAACATTCTCAACTTATCCTTGTAGGTCTTTTTTTAAAGTAGGAAAGCCTGCTCAAGTAGCAATGTGCAGTAAGTACAAGGAGGCTAAAACATACGGGTCATCTTTCCACACCAGTGTCATTTTTGTCACTGAATGGAGCAATATCCAAAATAGAATGGATCAATGGAAGCTTCCAAAAGGCAGCAAGAAGAAACCACGTTACATTTTCTCTGCAATGTACAAGTACAGAGGTCATAAGCAGAAACCAGGCCACCCAACCCAACCAATCGGCATTGGCAAGTTGTTGTAATCACATTCACTTACCCTGCTCCCATATTACTTCATTTACTCAATTAAACCACATATTCAATGCATTCTTGGATTTTCCTGATGTTTGCTCCTCAACCACTAGCTCTTGTAGGTGAATTCCATGGCCTCGCAATTCTCAGTGCAGAAAGGTTTCTTCAGTACTCGGTTCTAAATCTTTCATCTATGCCCACTCATTAATGACCCTTCAGCTAAGAGAAGTATCTGCTTCTATCTCCCTTGACCCAACTTTTGCTGTTTACCTACCACTTACATTGTCAGAAACTAAATTAATTAAATTAAATAAATAAATAAATGATTAAACACATAAACTAAAATCAACAGGAAGATTGACATGCAATATATTCTAAATTAGAGCTAAATTCTTCAGAAGGGTCTAGACCCGAAACGGCAGCTTTCCTGCTCTTCTGATGCTGCTTGGCCTGCTGTACTCATCCAGCTCTACACCTTGTTATCTCAGATTCTCAGGCATCGGCAGTTCCTACTATCTCACAACAGATGCTGTTGTTTTGCTCTCTCCACAGTCCCTGTGGAAAGCTAACAAGGGAAGGGAGAGGAATAAGTGTCTAGTGGTGGCATCCTGGCTGGAGGTGGCAAAAATGGCAGCTAATGATCCTTTGGATGTGGATGCTTGTGGGGTGGTAAGTGAGAACGAGGGCTACCCTATCGCTGTTGTGGGAGGGAAGAGAAGGCGTGAGGGCCAAAGTGCAGGAGTTGTGTTGGACACAGCTGAGGGCCCTGTCAGGTGGTAGAGAATTCTCAGATGAGGAAGAAGGTGGCCATTTTGGAGGCCCCTCTGTCGGATCTGGCATCTTCAGAACAAATGCAACAGAGATAGAGAAACTGGGAAAATGGAATCAAGTCATTACAGGAAGAAAGGTGTAAGAATGTATAGTCAAGGTAGCTGTAGGAGTTGGTGGGTTGTAGTGGATGTTGGTGGCCTGTCCCCAGAAATGGAAGCAGAGATGTTGAGGAAGGGAAGGGAGGAGTCAGTGATGGACTGGGTGAAGGTAAGAGGAGGTTGGGAATAGGGAGTGAAATTGATAAACTTTTCCAAGAGGGAAGCAGTACCACTGATGTCATCAAAGTATCAGAGAACGAGTTGTGGGTGGGGCCAGAATAGGACTGGAACAAGGAATGTTCCCCATACCCCACAAAGAGACAGGCATAACTGGGGCCTATACAGATACCGATGACCATCCCTTTCTTAAGTGAGAGGAGTTAAAGGAGAAGTTGTAAGGCTAGACTTGTATCCCCTGGAGTTTAGAAGGGTAAGCTGTGACTTGATTTAAACACCGGAGGTGTCTTGGCAAGGTGAATGTGGGACTATACAGAACTAGGTGCCATTGTTTAAAAATAAAGTACCAGCCTTTTAAGACAAGGGATTTTTTTTTTCCTCACAGACTGTCCTGGGTCTTTAGAACTCTCTTTTCATGTAAGTCCCTGAATATTTTTAATATTTTATTGATCAGCTTGGGTTAACAACCCCAATCAATGATCTCATAGTCAATGAAGTCCAGCTAACCCTTGTTCCAATCATTACAGTTGAAAGAAATAAAAGGAGAGAAAAGGCTGTTGCTCCGGGCAAGATATCTCCCTGACGTTCAATTCCAATGGTTTTATTAGACCCACAGACTCTGTCTTGTGACCTTTTTCTGAAAGTGTTGTAGACTTAGCTTCTCCAGTCAAGCAGGCTTTGTTCTTTGAAAATGCAATAATTTTCCTGCTGCAGCCAGTCTCCTTTGCTTATTTATTTCCAAAAAAAAAATTCAAAACATAGATACAGTCCAATCAGTGATATTCTAAATTATCATTTCAGGTAGCATGCCTTCATAACATTTTTATTGTCTATTTTGCACCCAGCACTTCAACAGAATGGAATTTACAAGGTGAGTAATAAAAACAGCGCTGTTTACTGCAGGCAACTGTTGGTAGTGAAATGTGCCACTGATTTTCTGGTGAAAGTTCATTTGAGTTTGAGCAGAAGGACAACAATGTCAGGCTGATTGATATGGTTGTCATCCATTTTCACTGATGTGGAGGTTCCAAGAAATCCTATCCTAAACACTCACTCTTTTTACATTACAGCACATCAGCATCCACTGGGAAATCATCAAAAGTCCATTTCAGGATGCACAAATGACCAATGCAAAAAATTGTCAATAGTTGCTTCATACCATTGCAATCATGACTCAAGCACTGACATAGCTGAACAGCCCAGAGAATAATTTAGTTTGTTTGAAGGGATAATATCTTTTAGGGAAACAAATGTATCATGCTTACCTGCTCTTCCCTATCTGTGACTCCATACACCCCACAATGCGGTTCATTCTTAATTAGCCTCTTAAGTGACCTAGTAAGCCACTCAGCTGTATTTATGAGGCCTCAGCTCATCATCATCTTCTCAAAGGCAATTGGGAATGGCCAATAAATGCTGGCCCTTACAAGTGATGTCCACATCCTATGAAAGGCTACAAAAAATTAGGCTAATATCAGCTGGGTTATTGGGATTGATGCTGCCAAAACACACTGGGCTTGGTTGACAGAAGAAATTATTTCACTCGTATTGCTGCAGGTAAATCAGTCTTATCCTTAGCAATTGTATATTTTGAAAGGGGGAATTAGGGCTGGAAAGTATCGGAGTAACGTCTGGAAGTGTAACTCAGGGGAAAACCCACAAATCATTCCATGATGAAATACAACAAGAACTGATGATGCTTAACCAGTGCTGGCAGAATAGTACCAGTTGAAAATCTAAGACTCAATTCACTAAAAATCTCATCAGTGGATATACAGTGATCTCCACATCCTTTAACACAAGGGCAAGATACTATGTGGCTGCCAGAAATCTGAGATGGAAACTGTAAATGCTGGAAATACTCAGAAATTCAGACAGCATCTTGCGGAGAGAGAGAAACAGAGTTAATTTACATATTTTGCCGTCTCCACAGATGGTCCCTAACCAGCTGAGTATTTGCAATATTTTCAGTTTTTCTTCATTATCTTTTCATATGTTTTCACTCCACATGTTGCCTCTTGTTGATCAGTTGTCGACAAACACTGACTAAGCACCTTAACTCTTCAAAATGGAGACTGTGCAGTGATTCAGTCTCAGCTAGCTTTCTATAACCACTGTTATGACCATTCACATGTGATTCAAGCAAGGGAAGATAGATAAGTTAGTGCTCCTTCGCAATGAAACACAGTACATTACCACAATGGATTATTCCATGCAGTAAGATAGCTGAAAACCCAGGAAGCATTTCCAGTTGAAGCATGTAATTAATAAAAGGCATGTGGCACTCAACTTCACAACTTTTTGACTGGGATTTAACTGATGTGAATTCTCCATCACCACTTACTGGGTAAACTAAATTCTACAATAATTATTTTCACCCTTTATTATAGAAGCTTTCTAATGATTGGATGCTTTTTCTAGATGAATATATTCAGTTAAATAACATGCACTTTGCACTCATTTGCCAATCTGTGAACACACAGCTGACTATTATAATTATATACAAGCGCACTAGCTGATTGTATTGGCAATGGTGAGTCAGAGGGATTTAACTACGGCATCTGAAGTGCAGCAGCTAAAGTATAACATAATGTCAGTTTGACAGGATGCAAATGTGACATTTGCAGAAAGATTGTGTTACACACAGGACTTTTAATATTTACCGATGCGAACTAGCAGATCTCCCATGGTATTGTTCATGATGAGTTAGGGGACCGATTGGACCATCTTTTGCAACACATAGGCCCCTCGTTTTGCTCCTCCCCCTCATTCAGCCTGTCAAAGAGTCAAATAGGCTTTCAAAGCTAAGGTATTTTTGAATTTTGTGAATCAGGTCCTGATCCTGCCATAGCAAGTTGAATCAGGAATGAGGAGGTGGAAACAACAATACAACTGCAGATCCTATCAGTGGTTGAATGGAGAACACAACACCCACAGGATCTTCTCCTTCATTTCATTTGTTTCAGTTATGCCTTTATTTCCTCCATATCCAGTGTAGTAATGGACATTTTGTGCTAATGCAGAGATGCACAGTTAGATGCCCTGTCAATTTATTTCCCATGCTAATTACTATTTTGTACTATCATTGAGCTATACAAATTGAAATGTCTGAACTTGGTCCCACTGTGTGCACCGGACAAATGACATGCTGAGGCTTCATTCTAACAAATCAATCCTCACACAATTTATTATCTCTGTTGGCAAAGTCATGAGCGATCAACCAGTTTATCAATCTAGAGTGCACAAAATATCTTGTTTTTGTTTGCACTTCCTGTCTGCATGTCCTAGTGTGATTTTGTGTATATTTTTTGTGCCATGCGTGCACACTTAATAAATTCCTCGATCTGCATTTATCAAGGATTTTTCTTATATTGACTCATTGCTTTGAAAGATTTGGCAACTGGATTCTCATAAATATATCAAAATGCTCTCTTTTCTGCTTCATTTATTTTCTCAGCATTTGAAGTTTCTGACGTCCAAAAACTTACGTTCAAACAAAATTCAAGTAAGCATTCCACTACAACCCAATTACATTCATCCACAGAGGTTTCTGTATCCTTCAATTCCTTCATAAAAAGTTTTGCTTGAAGATCTCAGCCTCTTACCAAATCTGAGTGCCGGTCTTGATATCTTTTGTCCAGAACTATGGCTGGGAGGAAATTCAATTGTAAGCATGTACTGTACATCTCATTTTCCAGAGTGCAACAGCCAAATTAATGCAATATTTTGATTTTGGACTACAGCGATTTCTACTCAGTAACTCATTTCTATGTAATTTTGGAAAAATGAGGGCTAAGTTTAAAAGCTCAATTGAAGTGAAACAAAGTTCCTAAAGGAACTGCTTCTCTGTGAGATTAAAAACAATTACAATATACTATTTGTGCCCTACTATTAGCTTTTGTGTCAGATAAAATTTACAAAAGAAACTGACAGAATGAGAATGACAGTTTATGCAAATGTTTCATTTTCTTTTTAAAAAATGAATGTTTAAGCTACTCAATAATCTCACCTCTTTGTTTTGTTGATGGTTGTGAATGCGTAATATTCATTTTTGTTCACATTGGAGATATTCCTACTTTTAACATCTACAAATAAAGTGAAACATTCCTCTCTTATTCCAATTAGCTTTTAAGATCAGTTTTGAAAACAAAATCAAAGGATAGGAAAAGAAAGTAGAAGTAGTTGGATTAAGTGAGTTGAGGGAGGGAAGATTACTTGAGAATGTAGGGATCAGAGACAAAGTGAGAAGGCGTTGAAAGAGAGCTGGACAAGAGAGGGATGAGAGGACAGGGATGGTATTAAAGAGGGTTTGAGAGATCATAAAGGCATTGAGTCCCTTAACTTCAGAAATCGTATGCTGAATCTTCCTGGAAACAGAGGCTCGGACTGTTCCCAGGACCTGAAATCCCCACCCAAAGGGAAACATTGAGATTTTTGCATGGGGTGCCCCCTAATGATTAACCTGGAGACAGGTTCCCTACCCTGTTATGGTTGTAAATAACGCAATGATAACTTCAGCTGTCATCTATACATTTAAGGTTTTAGCAAAGATCTATAGCTTGGGTTGTCGGTAAGGTTGACTTGCTCGCTGAGCTGGCTTGTTTTCATTCAGACGTTTCGTCACCATGCTAGGTAACATCATCAGTGAGGCCTCCGAACTTTACTTAATATCGGTACACTCAGATAATGAAGGCCATCAGCTTAACTGGGACAAGATAACCATAGTAGCCCAAGCCAAACATAGACACGCACGGGAATTCCTACAGGCGTGGTTCTCAACCCATAATGCAATCAACAAACATATAGAATTGGACCCCATATACAAACCCATACAGAACAAAACTGGAAATGACACTACTCACCATAACGGACCAAACAATATAAATTCCGAGCGGAGTAGAACAACATCACGTCATCAGAGGCCTCACTGATGATGTTACCTAGCATGGTGACGCAATGTCTGAATGACAACAAGCCAGCTCAGCGAGCAAGTCAACAACTTCTCATCTATACAATCTATAGCAAGCTACTTCATTTCACTTCAAAGGAATCCAGAGAATGATAGGCAGATTATAGCACTTGTACTTGCTTAATGTTTTGAAATTCAAAACAATGTTGTTTCTAGTTTCTGGAAAGGGTCAGACTCTAACTGTATATTGGGTCATGTTTCCAAACAGCAGGATGATGAATTATTGACTGCTAGAATGGACTGTGCAGACTGTTCCTGATTTCATTGCCTTTCCTGCTCCTGATTAGTTCTTGATGTCAGACAGTACAAGTCATTCTGCTCTTTGCTTGGATTCCAAAGGCCACTTGGGGATCTTTCATTTTGGAGTTGATTACACGGCACTTATAGAGTCATAGAATCATAGAGATGTACAGCATGGAAACAGACCCTTCCATCCAACTCGTCCATGCCAATCAGATGTCCTAAATTAATCTAGTCCCATTTGCCAGCATTTGGCCCATATCCCTCAAAACCCTTCCTATTCATATACTCATCCAGATGCCTTTTAAATGTTGTAATTGTACCAGACTCCACCACTTTCTCTGGCAGAATATTCCATACACGCACCACTCTCTGTGTGAAAAAGTTGCCCTTTAGGTCCCTTTTAAATCTTTCTCCTCTCACCTTAAATCTATTCCTACTAGTTTTGAACTCCTCTACCTTGGAGAAAAGATCTTGACTATTCATCCTATCCATATGCCTCATGATTTTATAAACCTCTACAAAATCACCTCTCAGCTTCCGACACTCCAGGGAAAATAGCCTGAACTTATTCAATCTCTTTCTATAGGTCAAACCCTCCGACCCTGGCAACATTCTTGCAAATCTTTTCTGAACCCTTTCAACTTTAACAACCTCTTTCCTATAGCAAGGAGACCAGAATTGAATGCAGTATTCCAAAAGTGGCTGAACCAATGTCCTGTACAGCCACAATATGACCTCCCAACTCCTGTACTCAATGCACTGACCGATAAAGGCAAGTGTAACCAAATGCCTTTTTTACTACTCTGTCTCTCCTGTAACTCCACTTTTAAGGAACTAAGAACCTGAACTCCAAGATCTCTCTGTTCGGGGACACTTCTGTTGCTTGTAAACTTCATGCCCTTGCAATCAAGTAAAAAAAGGCTGAAGAAGGTGACAGAATCAAATTCATTTTGGATAAAAAGCTAAAGACAATAGAAACATTAGAATTTATGACTTTGGCCTAAATCAAATGGCCTAAGTTCCATTGGAAAACTATGAAAGTTCTTCAAAGATACTCTGAAGCTCACCTTGAAAGATGGTAGCATGAACCTGAATGACTGGGAGG